TAGTATAAACACCAACAATTAGGAAACATTGGCCTGCAAGCGCTCCAATTGGAGAACAACCTTTACCAAAGGTGTCATAGACTTTGAAGACACCCAAACTCAGGACACAAGGGAGAAAAGTGCTAAGAGGAAGGCACGCTTGGCAAATTCACACCATGATCAACCCTCACCCAGGAACCAATGTCCCCACTGTGGAAGGACATGTGGATCCAGAATTGGCCTCCTTACGGACTCATTGTTAGAACCATGTTTATGGAAGATAATCTTACTCGGCTATGAGTGATCGCCAAAGAAGATTACTCAGCTGCAACTGACTTGGAATGATTTAAGTTCTGCAGGTTTCTGCTAAGCCATTCATTAATTCCTGTCTCTTAAGTCAAACCAAGTGGGCCAAATAACATGTGTCTAAAGAGTCCTCAAGCCTGAATATTTTTGCCTGTTTTCTTTTGTAAGCAAGGGAAGGAGGTTGCAAAGCCAGGATGTCTGCGCACTGAACTGGATAATGCTGCTTAGAGTGTGATGGTTGGTTTTTTGTTTTTAAGATTCTTATCTAGCAGAGGAACCCTAGGTCCTTCCCATTCCATATCTGTTACTGTCTGCACAGTAAATTACCATTAACTGAAGATGCTAGGTACTCTGGACTATTGTGACAAAGTGAATTAGCTGGGCAGGATCTTCCCCGAGTGTTCATTAAGCAATTAAACCTCTTGCCTTCTTAATCTGGTTGTTTTGCAAACCAGAGACCACGAGACTTAAAACAGACAGACAGACACACTCACACACAAACCCCAACCAGCTATTATAGCAAGGAGACTGCCTGATTAAGGAGCAGCAGCCAACATCAATAAATGAGTAAATAAATAAAAAATATCGTCACAGGCTGGTTCAAGCCACAGGGTTCTATGTCGTTTTGAATCATTTTCACATGGCACTTTAATTAGAAAATCCACACTATTGAACTTCAGCTAACAGCCTCCAAGCTAACTGCCATGTTTTCTTCTCAAGCTCCTCTGGTTCTTGCAGTGAAGTCCAAAACTTGATTTATATACACAGAATCAATGAAAGGTATGTTTCTTGATGCGCTGCAAAACGAGGGGGGGGGGACTGGTGCTCAATTTACCCAAATTACCAGATGAGGTCCATGTTATTCCTGCTTTTGATCAGATTGAGGTTTCTGAGCAGACCTGTGAGCACCACCAGAAAGTAGGAAGCACCACTTTTAATCATCCTTTTCCAAAAAACTGCCTTTCAAAATTTTCTGTTGAAACAGTGCTGGGGAACCTGAGGCATTCCAACTGTTGCTGAACTCCAGCTCCATCCAGCATAACCAACAGTCACTGATGATTAAAGTCACCGTCCAACAACATCTGGAAAACATAGCTGTCAACTTTCAGATTTGAAAATAAGGGATCAGCAGCCTCACCTGTCCCGGGAATATCTAACAATCCGGGGTAGCAGCGGGAAGCAGTGGGAAACAGCACTGGAATAAGGGAATTTCCCTCAAAAAAAGGGAAGGTTGACAGCCATGCTGGAGAATCAAGGTTTTCCCCACAAATATGTTAAAACAGCAGCAAAGTAGTTCAACAACATCTGGCATAAGACTTCTTGTCTTTTCCTTTAAAAAAAAAATTACAGTGGTACCACAGGTTACAGACACTTCAGGTTACAGACGCTTCAGGTTACAGACTCCGCTAACCCAGAAATAGTACCTCATGCTAAGAACTTTGCTTCAAGATGAGAACAGAAATTGTGCGGCGGCAGCAGGAGGCCCCATTAGCTAAAGTGGTACCTCAGGTTAAGAACAGTTTCAGGTTAAGAACGGACCTCTGGAACGAATTAAGTTCTTAACCTGAGGTACCACTGTATTCAAAAGCTTTGTCCACTTCCATAATACCACCAAATGATGGGAAAGGATCAGATCTATCACCAAAGGCTCATCTAGTCCAATATCCTGTCCTCACAGTGGCCAATCTGCGGGAAACCTGCAAGCAGGAAATGAGTGCAATAGTGCTCTCCCCACTTGTGATTCTCAGCCACTGGTATTCAGACGCATCCTGCCTACAACAGTGGAGATAGATCATTGACAGCTTTATCCACAATGCCTGCCACAATGACTAGTCAACTGGCCAGTCAAATATTGCCAGTTCATCCATCAACTGACACCACGATCAAGTGAAAAATGTGCCCCAACCCTTCTCTGTGCATCACACCTGAATATCTGGAACACAGAGCAGACTAGCCCTAGACATAGACAGCAGGAACCCTTGAATATGGCTTGAAGGACTGTCCACATGTAGGGCTTGAAGGGCCCCACTCCTTTTAGGAGGCCCGCGACAACGGATCAAAATAATATTGATTTGATCTTGAAAGAAAATGTCAATCAAGCTTTCTTAGTTCAATGTTATCCTACTAGACTAGAGCATGTGCACAAGGGGAACCCTGAGATTTCGACTGCCTAGGAGCCTCCACAGGGTTTATATTTGGCCCCTGAACCCAAGGTTCCCCACCCCCCTGTTATGGAAGTTGGGTTGTCTGGGACCAGCAAGTGTGCCTAGTAATAATAATAATAATAATAATAATAATAATAATAATATATTTCTACCCCGCCCATCTGGCTGGGCCTCCCCAGCCACTCTGGGCGGCTTCCAACAAAATATTAAAATACAATAGTCCATCAAGCATTAAAAGCTTCCCTAAACACCCATGCAATGGGAAATGTGTGAGTGAGGAACACCTGAACCAGACTTCACTTAACAAATGCTCTTGCAATTTCCTATAGCAGGGATGAGTATCCTGTGGGCCTCCAGATATTATGCAACTACAGCTCTCATTCTCATTGATGACTGGCCATGCTCTCTGGGGCTGATGGGCGCTGGAGCCTAGGAGCATCTGAAAGGCCACAAATTCCCCATCCCTGCTACACAGAGAATCTTCCTCTCAGTTAAATAATGTAGCTTAGCTTCTCTTCTGCCTGGACCTCTCTCTGTGTTCTTTTGAGGGCTTGAACCAGCAGAGTTCCTGATGATGTGTGGAGAGGTCCCACATGCTTCCATTTGCAAAAAAAATGCAGGCTCTTTTCAACATGTATGTGGGGCAGAGGTTGCTCCTGAATTCCTGCTCTCCTTGTCCCACCTATTGTGTTCATTCTACCAACAATAAAGGTTTCAACAGGGCTCTTGAGTAGAGGCCCCAATTGCTCCTTATTTATGCATTTTATTTGGTTGTGGATGAACAAAGGAACTTAAATGGAACACATTTCAAGGACAGCATTTTCAAATAAAGTGCCAGCAACATTGTGACACATGTCATAACATCATCTGTTGTTGTTATTGTTTTTTTGGAGTTGTACTGGTGGTGAGTTCTCCTACTCTGAAAATCAAGCTGCCCAGCATTAACAAACTGCCTTTGATTAAAATGGACTATTTTATTAAACTGTTAAAGATTACCCCCTTTATGGACCCGTGCAACTTTCAGTTACCCATTTTATGCAACTGCAGTCTCCTGCGCCCAATTATTAGCAACACCCACAGCTGGGCGTGCATGGAAACAGACCATGTTGCAAGCCCATCTGTTCAGAGGGAGTGATCTGTAACTGCTCAATTTGGGCAAAAGCTGCTTTATCACTGTACAGTTCCTAAATAGAACTCTGAAATAATGATGCTCAGTTTCCACATTTAGATCCCAGGGAGATAACGTCCGTCTAGACAGATGGATATCTGGACTGGTGAAAGCAAGGACAGCTGAGAGGAGAGTGAATGAGGATAGCAAGGGACATACCTCCATTACTATCTCTTGTCTGAGACTTTCAGTCTCAAAGAAACGGTGATTACTGACTGCCTGCTATGCTCTTGGGAATGCAGGGGGAAGGTGAAGAGCGTGATATGTGAAACCTGAGCAAATAACTTTCTCTTAGAGGGAAAGACAAATAAAAATGCAAAGGCATTATTCTCAGCTGATATAATTTCCCATAGGTTCAGTTTTGCTAGAGGTATGCAATGGGGGGAACATCTGTGCTTCACTCCCCACCCAAATCCCCAGAATCATCACAGGGCAGACTACAAGTGAAGAAAAATGGGGAATGGTAAAGTTCAAGACAAAGAGGCAGGGGAAACTATAAATCCCATGCTCCCAAGCAGAAAATGTCTGCCTAAGAACAAGCAAGTGAGATCTCCCATGCAATCATTTATCTCTCCCTCATTCTTGAGGGAGATGTGGGGGCTAAATTGGGAAAGGAGTAGGGATAGTAGGGAAGAACAGGTCACTTCACAGAGGGGTAGTGTGCATTGGCCGCACCCAGGCCAAGCGTTGTGCCCCCAACTTCCTTGTGGGCATTACGCAGGAGGCAACAGATGGACTTCGCTGTGCCCCTGTACCACGGAGGTCACCTGCTGGTCACCCATGTTTGCCCTCTCAGCTTGGCAAGCTCCAAGACTGATGTGGGAGAGACATGTTTCATTGCAGCTGGGGCAGATGGAGACATCCAGTTGTGCTGCTGCAGATGCACCACTAAGTGACCTTGGACCAGACAGCCTAACCTACTCAATGGTGCTTTTGTCAGGATAGAACGGGTTGGATGTAAGAACTTTCCATGCCACCCTGAGCAATTTAAAGGCAGGACAGGATAACAAAAGGGTGGGCTTCTTTTATAACAACCTTTCTCAACCTGTGGGTCCCCAGATGTTGTTGAACTACAACTCCCATCACCCCTAGCTAGCAAGGCCAGAGCTCAGGGATGATGGGAGTTGTAGTCCAACAACATCTGGGGACCCACAGGTTGAGAACCGCTGTTTTACAATATCAACTTCAAATATTCTGTGAATATTCAGCAAACCATCAATGTTCAGACTTTTCAGATAATTTGACAACATCAGCTTTCTGAAAGAATTTTGAAAATAAATGTAAGGGTCCCTGAGGTCATCTGAGGCCTTCCTTCATGTGCCTCTTCCTCGAGAGGTCTGGAGGGTGACAACACAAGAACGGTCTGGCTCTGCTCTCCCCAGGGAAGTTCCCCTGGCACTTTCATTATACACCTTTAGGCGCCAGGCAAAAACGTTCCTTTTTAACCAGGCCTTTGGTTGATCTTATTGACATCCAACACCCTTTTAGAATGTTGCTTGGGGGAAGTGTTATTGGGTTGTTGCTTTTGGTTTGATTTTATATTTTAGTTTGATTTTATATTTTGCTATGTACCGTCCTGAGACCTCCAGGTATAGGGCAGTGTATAAGTTGAATAAATTAATAAATAAACGCTTGACCCCCTCCAACTTGACTGCTCAATTCTATGTGTATTCTTTTCCCACTGTAAATGCATCTTAGGTTTCGGCAACCTTTCAGGAGTTTCCAATATCATCACGCTGGTGTCCCAAACGCAGTTGACATTTCTACAATATTTGATACCAGTATTTGATATCTGACAGATTATATTTGACAATATTTAATGGCTGTCACAAAATGGTATTCGGGGTGTTGTTTTCGGTATTAAAGAGCTGGCATGCAATAGTACTGGCATCTGGTATTGTTTGATCATTGACATGCATGGTGTTTAGTATTTGGTGGCTGATACGCAGTCAGCCTGCATGCTTGACAAGATTGAATGGTTGGCATGCGATTGTAGTATTTGGTGTCTGTAAGTTAAACCGTGTGCTGTACGTAAACATGCATAATGGTAACCTGATGGCCCTTTTTAAACTTGAAAACATGTTTGATGGGGAGAGCGAGTGGATAGGAGAGAAGTAGGGGACAGGAAGTAGCATTTTAATCTAGGCTGGGGTGGGGCTGGGACTCCAACTCCCATCAGCCTCTGCCATCATGTGCTGTGGTCGGGGATGATGGGAGTTGGAGTCCAACCAAATCTGGAGTCTCACAGCTTCCCAGTTCCCTAGTTTGCCTGTTCACCAGAGCCAAGTTTTTCTTATAATTTACTGCTTCTCCTTATATGCTTCCTTTAGCATATTTGAATGTTCTCTGTATTGCCAAGAGCCCTGGGGCTGCCTGTAGAAAGGAAGGATGAAAATGCTGCACGTTAAATTAAATCTAAATAAGGAAATCAATAAAGCTGCAGCTGTGTGTACGTGTGTGAGAGAGAAAGAGGGGGAGGGGTTGTACGTATATATGAATGCCCATCTCCTCCCCAAGAAACAAAAAGATCCCTCCACTCATGAGAGGCGGGAAGGGGGATGGCGAAGGGCAGACTAAGCACTTCTCCCTGAAATGGTAGCCTTCTATTGCAGGGATTATTTTTAAGCGGGAAAGCATTGAAACTTGTTATTCCCCACCTGTAGCCTGAAGCAAAACACTCAGAGAAAAGCTTTACCACTTAATTCTGCTAAATGTGTGAATTCACCCTTCAGTAGCAGAATGTTGGATGAAATAGAATGATGGTGTTTTTGATTTTTTTTTCTAACACACACACACACACACACACACACACACACACACACATTCTTCCTCTCCTACTGGTTTATCCCAATCTTACACATAATATCAGGGGGCGTGGAAGTTTTTTGGGGGGGTTTTGCAACTGAGGGCCACATTCCCTTCAAAGCAACCTTTTGAGGGCCACCACATGCCAGTGGTGGGCAAGGGCAGAGGCAAAGTAGGAGGAGCAATGAATGCAAATTTTACCTTTCTGCGGCGGGCTGGTTTCTACGTACCCCCAATGCATTACTCTCTATCTTCCATTGAGGCAAGCAAGAGGCATTCTCTGAGTTTAAGGGCATATCCCATCAAAGGCAAAAACACACAAGGAGGGGTATGGAGTAAGCATAGGGGCCATCTTGCGGGTGGCCGCAATGAAGGGCTTCAGCTTTGCCCATTGACTTTGGCAGGGGCCAGTCCCCACAAATATATCATTGTGGGTGCTGAGGCACCCAGGACCCCCTGGATTTGGCTCCAGTGGGACTTGGTCTGGTACGAGGTGGGGCTAAGGAGGAGGTATAGCCTGGGAACATCCTAAGGGCCACGTAGAGAGTTTGGTAGGGCTGCATTTGACCCCTGGGCCTGAATTTCCCTGCCCCTGCCATTTGCTGGTACATCAGTCACCTCGGCATCACAATATATTCAGGCTGTGATCTTATATCCATTTGTATTCAATGGGCGTTAATTCTGAGTAGGTATGTATAGGATTCAAGTGTCAAACCTGTACCAGTGTTAGAAACTGAGGTATATAAGCTAGGCACCACACAGCACCTTGAATCAAGATTGTGGATACCACAACGGAATGTCTATTCACCAGGGGATGAGACTCAATGACCCTTGGGGTCCCTTACAATGCTAGAATTCTACGATTCTATTATCTAAACTACCTTGCTTGACTGTAGCTTGCTCATACAACAATTCACTTCTCCCCGTGCAAGAAGGAGAAACGCACACAGTGGGAATGGAAACGATGGACTAAGGCAGAGGTTCCTAAACTGCGGACAGCAAACTGGCACCCAGAAATCACCACCTAGTCACAACTGGACACACGCCAGTTGCAACATGCGCCTGGCTAATTTCAAACACTGACCTGTACACCTTGCTCATGTACAGCTAAAATGGAGCATAGGAACACATGAAGCAGCTGTATACCAGGACAGACCATTGGTTTATCCAGCTCAATACTCACAAGCCCTCTAGGGCAGGCACCCCCAAACTCGGCCCTCCAGCTGTTTTGGGACTACAGTGCCCATCATCCCTGACCACTGGTCCTGTTAGCTAGGGATGATGGGAGTTGTAGTCCCAAAACAGCTGGAGGGTCGAGTATGGGGATGCCTGCTCTAGGGTTAAATCTCTCCCAGCCCTTCGTGGAAATGTTGTGGATTCAAACTTGTACCTTTTGCATTCAAGTCACGTGCAGTCTTTGTTTGTTTGTTTGTTTGTTGTATGTCTGTTTATTTTTGGCATTTCTTGCCCACCCTTTTACATCGGTGGTTACAAAGATGGCTTCCCATCTCAACCTCGCAGTTCTGTTCCACTCTTTCAGAAACGGTTCTAATATTTTGCTTTAATCACACTGCGTCGCGAAAACATTCTCTTGTTCCTCAGCACACAGAGAGGACAGAGCAACCTCCAGAGACCCGTATTAGGCTGTGGACCATAAACCATGGGAATAGCTGAAAGGGATCTCGCCTGAGGCAGCATCCCCTTCTCGGTACTTAAAGCAGAACTCAACCAAGGACTCGGAAGCAGAGAAAATCTAAAAGCAGAAATGTTCCTTTCTGGAGGTCAAAGAGACAGGCAATTGGAAAGAAAAGCGAAAGATTCTCCCCCTCCCTTTTAAAAGGAAAGCATGACACAACTGATTTTCAGCTGCCGGGCGTCTTGTGTACCAAACATCAAAACACGTCTTCCTTGATTCCAAATAGTTATTGGTTTTTAGGGAGGAACTGTGTGGCCCCAGCAAAGAATCCACAGTTTGGCTTGTCATGTCTTTGAGCACTCTCATAATCCATTATTCCAGTATTTGCTACTTACTGTTTTTATATAAAAGGAAAGAAAATTACTTTTTTTTTGGGGGGGGGGAATGACTCCAAAGGGCTTGTGTAATTTCTGACCCAAAAGACCTCTTGCTGCATTAATGTATAGAATTGTAGAGTTTGAATAGACTGATAAGGATCATCTAGTCCAACTCCCTGCAATTTGGGAATCGAAGCTAAGCTGCTTGAAGAAAGGGAGAAAGGAGCAGCAACTGCAGCACATATTTAAAGGGCACTATTAAAGCGCAGATGGCAAGGGAAGGGTCGCAGCTCATTGGTAGAGCACACACTCTGAATGCAAAAGGTTGCAGGTTCAGTCCCCGGGATCTCCAGGTAGGACTGGATAAAGCGTGTTCTCCTTCATGGAGAGCAGGTGTTGCGGTTGAGGCTGACAAGACACTCCAAAGTTGTGGGGCGGGCTAATTGATCATTGGCCACTGGTGTGATTGGGCTTCATTTGTTGTTGTGAAGAAGTTAATGTTGCCATTCTGTGATTGACAGTCAGAAATGTTAGAACTCCCTGCTCGAAGCGTAGAGCGTCCTCTTTTCGCTTTGTGCATCGGATTGCCTGTCCCCCCCTCCCTATATTTAGGGTTGTTCGCTTTGACCTTGCTATGCCTGTCATGGGGTCGTCTGCTCTTGGGGCAGGGGCCCGGTAGGAATTTTGTCCATCTGGCTGATTGGCTGGGGCCATTTGGTTTTTGCCTACTGCGTAGCAAATCGTCACAACTTGTAAGGTTGAAGTTAGGCATTGGTTTGGTTGGTTGAAGGGCATGGATTGGCTGTGCCTGCCCCTCTAATGCTGCTGCTGCAAGGGATTCTGTTAAAGGAATACAGGGGCTCACCAATGCTTTTGTCTGAACCCTGTCAAGGGGCTAGGGCCACGTAAGAGCCCCTGGTTGCATTTGGGGAGAGCTGAGGGCAGGTTCCCTGCTCCGTCGCTACCCCCAAATGTATTCCCCTTTTCTGGGGGGCAGATAGTCGCAACCAATGCCTAAGCAACCACTCACATTTTTTGTATTTTAATAAAGTTGTGCCCCAAAAATATGCCAAAAACCTTAAACAAAATTTCTGTGTGATGTGTGAGTTATTTGGGGTGGCTTGGGGACCTCGACACGCAAATACTCCTCCCAGAATTATTGAAGGGGTTCTGCTGCTCAGTAGAGATGATGGTGAGCTACATGGACCAATGATCTGGCTCTGAGTCAGGTGATACGAAACACAGCACAAATCATTCAGCACCAGAGCTGCTGTCTGGGCACACCCTACGAGGCCCCCATACCTTGCAAAATGATAAATATGCTGCCTGGAGACAAGCAAGTCAAGTTGTGTATCCATAGCAGTGACCGGCGGAGGAATGACTGCTGGGATTTGTGCAGAGAACCGGACACCTTCGTCTGCCCCAGGTGTAACAAAACACGTCTCTCTACAGCCACAGAAATTGCTGCAACCATCCCACAGCTTGACTTCACCCCCAAAAGAGCGCTCTGTTAGTGTACAAGGGTTTCATGCATGAAAAGAAAAAGGACAAGAAAGGGTTGGTTTTGGTGTGCTATTTAATTTGGGTGTGTTTTGCCCTGCACTTGCAGCTAGTTAAGCATGTGAGAATGACTCAATAAACACACGAGACGTAACCGACTGTGTTCTTAGATAAATAAGGTATACTATTCATGTATCAAATCATAAATTTCAATGGAAGTAACTCATAAAGTTCAACAAACAAACAAAGCAGAAGACCCAGTGGATCAGATCATTCTACTACTACTACTACTACTACTACTACTACGCCATACGATCCACTGTCCTGTAATATCACATATGAGCTTTAACTACTGATGAAGCCCAGGACAGCGAAACAAGGCCAATATTCTGGAAATCCTTCTCTTAGACTCTGTGAAAGGATTCTGCGGAACTGTAACAACTTTTCATGTGGATTGTTTGGACCTTATGAACAGACAGGTGGAATAGACACTATTACATGGATGGACCTTATGCATGAACTGACTAGAGAATGATCTGATCCACTGGGTCTTCTGCTTTGTTCATTTGTTGAACTTTACGAGTTTATTGAGTATGCTTTACGTGACCATAGGTTTGTTTGTTGTTGTTTTGCTTGTGAGAATGACTCAGCAAGCATGTGAGAATGACTCAGCACAATCTACAGTATAAATGCGGTTGTGTTTAAGGCAAGTTGACTATTGGCCCTTGCCCAGATCACTGTGTGTACACTGAAAGAAGACTAGATTGACAACCGTATGTAACTGACACTGCATTATACTGTCAGTAAAGCAACTGACTCTTCCTAGCACTGCTTGGTGTTTCTCTGCTCTTTTGGTGGGCACTCTGCGCATGCCCCAACACACTCCTCCATCGTCTCCCAAGGCAGATGGATAAAAGGTAAAGGTAAAGGGACCCCTGACCATTAGGTCCAGTCGTGGCCAACTCTGGGGTTGTGGCGCTCATCTCACTTTATTGGCCGAGGGAGCCGGCGTACAGCTTCCGGGTCATGTGGGCCAGCATGACTAAGCCGCTTCTGGCGAACCAGAGCAGCGCACGGAAACGCCGTTTACCTTCCTGCCGGAGTGGTACCTATTTATCTACTTGCACTTCATGCTTTCGAACTGCTAGGTTGGCAGGAGCAGGGACTGAGCAACAGGAGCTCACCCCGTCACGGGGATTCGAACCGCCGACCTTCTGATCGGCAAGTGCTAGGCTCTGTGGTTTAACCCACAGCGCCACCCGCATCCCTAGAACTATAGGGACATAAAAAAGCTACCTTCTCCTGCCCCAGACCACTGGCTCCTCTAGCTCAATAATGTCTACACTGATTGGCAGCAGCTCCCCAGGGTTTCAGGAAGGGTTTCCCTTCCAGCCCTACCTGGCAATGCTGCAGTTTTAGCCTGGGACCCCCTGCATGTAGAACAGATGCTTGGCCACTGAACTATGGCCCTTCCCTGTAATTATTTTTCTTTCTTCTGCAGCCCCAAGGAATTGTGCAGGCTATTGTATCAGGAGAAACTTGAAGCTGTAAACTCGCCAAACTCACAGAGCATAATGCAAGGCGCCAGCAGTTTACGTGAGCCCTGGGAATTTGAGTTCCTTAGGAAAGGTCAGTGGTTGAGCAGCAGCTGGAGGGAGAGAAAGATGCAGTCCCCGGAGGCAGTGAGGAGGGGCTTTTACGTTCTTTCTGAGAAAAAGTATATTTTAACATTTTGATTTTTGTGGGGGTTTTTAGGGGTGAGATCTTTTATGGATTTTCGGTGGCCTTTGCATCTGTCAGAGGTTTGAGAAGGTCGTAACAGGCGTACTCTGTGGCAGACGACTGTAAAACGGATGGCAATCATAGCTTTCCCAGTAATGAGCAATGTGGAATCTTCCCTTCTGATAACAAAGAAAAACCCAAAATGTGCTTAGTGCATTTTTCTCTCATATAAGAAAGGGGAATATAATAATAATAATTTATTCTTTATGCCCCACCCATCTGGCTGAGTTTCCCCAGTGACTCTAGGTGGCTCCCAACAGAATATTAATAATAAAAATAAAAAGTGATAAAACATCAAACATTAAAAACTTCCCTCAACAGGGCTGCCTTCAGGTGTCTTCTAAAAGTCAGATAGTTATTTATTTCCTTGACAACTGATGGGAGGGCGTTCCCCAGGGTGGGCGCCACTACTGAGAAGGCCCTCTGCCTGGTTTCCTGTAACCTCGCTTCTCGCAGTGAGGGAACCACCAGAAGGCCCTTGGAGCTGGACCTCAGTGTCCGGGCTGAACGATTGGGGTAGAGACATTCCTTCAGATATACTGGGCAGAGTAAGGTTACCAGATTTTTTTTCAATGAATCTGGGGACACTTATTGTTCGCTACTTACAAGTGAATGCTGAGAAAGCTGTAAATCCGGGGACTGTCCCAGGAAACGGGGATATCTGGTAACCTTAGTTTAGAGTTTTAAAGGTCAGCACCAACACTTTGAATTGTGCTCGGAAATGTACTGGAAAAGTGACTCAGTCAATGACCCCTCTCCCAACTCACCTGGGGAAAAAGTAATCCTATGGACAAGGAAAAAGCACATAGGTATAAATTAAGCTGGCGCTGTGGGTTAAACCACAGAGCCTAGCACTTGCCGATCAGAAGGTTGGTGGTTTGAACCCCGCAACGGGGTGAGCTCCCGTTGCTCGTTCCCTGCTCCTGCCAACCTAGCAGTTCGAAAGCACGTCAAAGTGCAAGTAGATAAATAGATACCTCTCCAGCGGGAAGGTAAACGGCATTTGCGTGCACTGCTCTGGTTTGCCAGAAGCGGCTTAGTCATGCTGGCCACATGACCCGGAAGCTGTACGCCGGCTCCCTCGGCCAATAAAGTGAGATGAGGGCCACAACCCTAGAGTCGGTCACGACTGGACCTAATGGTCAGGGGTCCCTTTACCTTTACCTTAATGTTACACCAGAACCAAAGCCTGTTCAGCAGTGGGACTGGTGGTGATGCTCTGCCTAAGCCTAGCTTCTAAAATAGTGCTCTGTGTCATGTTGCTTGATAACATGACCAAGCTGTTCTGGCTTGGAATCCAGCCTAATTTCCTCCTCCTCTGGCCCTGGCCCTTTTGTTTGGGTTCCCCTCCCCTTTCCATTTTCCTCTTCCCTTCTTTTGCCCCTACTTTCTTCGTGTGAAAGTAGGCAGGTATGCCCAATCTCGGTTACGTTGGATTATTTAGTTCATCTGTTGAGGTCTAAGGTCAGGTATCTCTTCTGTCTCTAGGGACATTTAAAAACTGCTTCTCTGAATGAATTGGGAAATGATCCACCCAGACAATAAGATAGCTCTTTCTACCCTTAGATCTAGATATATTTATCTGTCCTGCAGATTCACCCAGTCTATAATCTTTCCCACCCATGCAGTTGTCAGTTTTGCTTCTCCATTCAGCATTATTTGCCACTGAGTAATTATGGGACTGGGGGTTTTGGGGGGGCCATCCTTCTCCCTGGACTTTTTTCCTACATATTTGTTCTACTTGTGCATATTTTGGGGGGCCGTCCAACTCTGTCAATATCTCTCCCTTGTATGTGGGTGAAGCTTTGGGCTATATAAGCTGAGGATGACTCCAAAACATCCAACACAGCCTTTCTTAACCAAGTGCCCTCCAGATGTTGTTGGACTACAGCTCCCATCATCCAGTGCACAGACTGATGCTGATGGGAGTTGGAGCCCAATGGTGTCTGGTGAGGAAAAGGTTGCAGAGCCTGTTCCAATGGCAATCAAGGGTCGTCCCTCCCAAAAAAGTTTGAAAACACCATTGTGGAAAAAGCACCTCATTTTCAGACTCTACATTGCTAATACAAGTGTCTTGCACTGTTTTGATGTTCTATTCTTGTTTGCTCTGGGCTCATTTTAGAGGTAGGGCAGGATAGATGATGATGATGATGATGATGATGATGATGATGATGATAGCTACCTGAACAAACAAAAAAGAACTTAAATGTTGCTTTTCAAAAGCCTCTTTCTTGTTGGAGAGAGGGGCTGCGATTCCATCCCCTCCTCTTAGTGAAATGGCCATTTCTGTCTAATAAATTACCTCCCCAACTCCTATGAGAGCAACTTTTTGGGAAAATGACAGGGAAAAAAGTTCCTAAGTGCAACAACTGGAGTGATATTTGGACAAGAGAGTCTTCCAATTAGTGCCTGGGAGAATCGAGGGGGAAACTTATGTGGTGAAAAATAGCTTTAAAACTTTAGGCAAGTCCCTGAGGGCTGTTGAAGATCTAATTAATGGAACCCAGCTATCAGCCAATCCATGTACAGCTCTCTGCACAGTCTAGAAAACAGCAGTAGACATTAATGAGCCCTTTGTATGAATTTGGGAACTGAGGCTGAGCAGTCAAGTTTCAGGTGGAAAATAACTTCTTGTCTGAACTAGCTACAGCGGATGGTTCTTTTATGTGAAGGCTGGGTCCTCTCAAAGTACAACAAAGGATACAGATACCAGCCTGGCTGAGATGATAAGAAGGTTTCTACCCTCCAGACATTCAGTTGAATCTCTAATTGGAAAAGTCTACAAGCTTAAAATTCATATTACTGTGAAGGATTAGGGAGCAAATTGACCCAGGTTCCTGTCCCTTCTCCCTCTTATGTATTTATGAGGTATTGAGCAGTGTGCACTAATGTTAAGAGAGAGGTGGGACAGGAGCCTGGAAAAGAGAAGACTGAGAGGAGATATGATGGTAGCTGTCAACGTTTCCCTTTTTTAAAGGGAAATTACCTTATTCTGAATAGGATTCCTCGTAAGAAAAGGGAAAAGTTGACAACTATGGATATGATAGCCATCTTCAAATATCTCAGGGGCTGTATCACATGGAAGAGAGATCAATCTAGTTTGCTCCTGCTCTGAAAAAGTGCCCCATCTCTGCTCTAAAAGATAAAGTTTAGAATAAGGCATGTCCAGCTATTGAACTTGCACTGCTTCTCTCTCTCTCTCTCTCTCTCTCTCTCTCTCTCTCTCTCTCTCCTCTTTCCTGAAGTGACAAAAGTAATGAATTGCAGCCGGAGGAGTACAGAGGCAAAGGAGCATTCCCTAAGTGATGCAAAACTGCTTCAGTGTTTCCCTGAAACAAGCTAAAATCATGTTAAGTCCCTTTGGGAGTTATTAGAAGAACACCTTTAGTTGCTGTCCACGAAACCGAAACAAGAATAAAGAGATGCTAATCGAGGCAACCTTGACTCCCTACACGCCAATCTCTTAGTTGCTCCATACAATCCTATCATCGTACAACTCATTGATAATTGCTAGTTCAGTGAACGCTGTTGTTGTTGGAGCACAGCAGCTGCCCACATAGACACGTCTCCTTGCATCTCCCTTCCTACGCTCCACAGAAATCAGATGTGTGTTTGTTTGTTTTTGAAAAAAATATAATAATAGTGTGTGTATCTATTTTTTAGTGGAAAATTACCACTTTGCATGCATATATAGAGAGAGAGAGAGAGAGAGAGAGCTGGACCATAAAGAAGGCTGATCGCCGAATAATTGATACTTTTGAATTATGGTGCTGGAGGAGTCTCTTGAGAGTCCCATGGACTGCAAGAATATCAAACCTATCCATTCTAGAGGAAATCAACCCTGAGTGCTCACTGGAAGGACAGATCATGAAGCTGAGGCTCCAATACTTTGGCCACCTCATGAGAAGAGAAGACTCCCTGGAAAAGACCCTGATGTTCAGAAAGATTGAGGGCACAAGGAGAAGGGGATGACAGAGGACGAGACGGTTGGATAGTGTTCTCGAAGCTACCAGCATGAGTTTGACTAAACTGTGGGAGGCAGTGGAAGACAGGAGTGCCTGGTGTGCCCTGGTCCATGGGGTCACGAAGAGTCGGACATGACTAAACGACTAAACAACAACAACAACAACATATATATATATATATATATATATATATATATATATATATATCAAGAAATACATTTCTCTTTCAAGTAAGAGTGGATCTGACCACCAAGGCTGCAATCTTGCAAGGAGCAATGCTGAACCAAGCTTCAGGGCAAGGAGCAGACGTTGGGTGGCAAAGCCTGCACTCTTCTAATCCACCCAGGTCTCAGTGATACAGACCAGACTGGCCTCTTCATCCATAATCGTATCATGGCTGAGTGAGGTCTGCAACCTGCAGCAGCAGCAGCCTCAGACCTGAGGGCTGGCTGGGGAAGCACAATTCCCTAGGTTGGAGGAGGGGCTAGCACACGACACAGTCACTAACTGTCTGTGCCATGTGCCCCTTACCCAGCTGGTCCCACCTCCCCTTGCCCCGAACCACTGTGACCGGGCTGCCCCAGTTCTCCCCAGCTCCTCTCTTCCCAGGCACATTCTATGCCCCTTAATTTGAAAACAACAAAATCCCCAAATTTAAAAACGCACCAGTTAAAAGCAATTAAAAACAATGCAAAACATTTTAAACAGGGCAATAAAAACAGCAACAGAAACACACCCACCCCAAGAAAAACCCCTAGACCAGCCTTTATCAACCTGTGGGTCCCCAGATGTCGTTGGACTACAACTCCCATCTCCCCTCGCTAGCAAGGCCAGAGCTCAGGAATGATGGGAGTTGTAGTCCAACAACATCTGGGGACCCACAGGTTGAGAACCGCTATCCTAGACAATACCCCAACCTAATACAGTGGTACCTCTGGTTACGTACTTAATTCGTTCCGGAGATCCTTTCTTAACCTGAAACTGTTCTTAACCTGAAGCACCACTTTAGCTAATGGGGCCTCCCGCTGCTGCCATGCCGCCATTGTGCAATTTCTGTTCTCATCCTGAAGCAAAGTTCTTAACCCAAGGTACTAGTTCTGGGTTAGCAGAGTCTGTAACCTGAAGCGTATGTAACCTGAAGCATATGTAACCTGAGGTACCACTGTAGTCTGTTCAGCCACCTCAACATTTTGCAGCTGGAGTCAGTCAGGGCCTAACTAATGCAATTTAGTATAAAATACTCCACAGCTTAATAAACTATACAGGTACATGGAGATTCGATCTTTTCCCTTTCCTTCCCTTCTCTTCTGTGGCTCCAGTTCTCTCCCCACTCCCTCAAAATTTATTTACTGTTAAAAACCCATATTCATATAGGAGGAAGATTGGTGCATGGTTAAAAATAACAGCATTTCTCTCTGGGTATCAATACAGCAGTTTCCAGTAAATGAAGCAGAATGTGAGGAAGGTCTGTTGTCATGATCCCTAAGAGGTATTAAATTGGCACATTAAAGGGAAGGGGAGGCTGAAAGAGTATAGTTTAGCAAAATTAAGCAATACCCTTACAAAGGGTAAAAGCAGTTTGAGCACAATATGGCTACCTAAAAGCTTCTTTACAGACACAGTCAGCTATAAACATAATAATAATTACAGCTTTTCCTCGACGTCGCCGAGAAGCAAACACATTTATCTGCCGTAAGCACCTTGAGACACAAAGCAGCGCCTAAATGTTGCAACTGCTCTTTCAAAGGCAGCAGATACAGTAAGTGACTATATCCATTACATTTTTCCACCGTTCACATCTGTGAGCCTCTGCTTGACATCTGCATTAACTCACAGCATTTCGATAAGGAAGAGAAGTGACCACAGCTTGCCAGTTCCATATTTGGGACTCAAACATTTTATTCATTTATTCCAGGGGTGGGGGTGGGGAATCGAGGGCTATGTTCTCTTCTTGGCAATGTCCAGGAGGGGAGGGGTCACATGCCAGGGCTGGGCGGGGCCAGAGGCAAAAGTGGGCGGAGCAATTAATGTAAATTTTACCTGTGTACTTTCGCCAGCCATACTTGGGGGGTGCTGAGGATTGAACTTGGGTCCTTCTGGGCCTTGGCCCAGTATACTTGAAGGAGCGTCTCCACCCCCATCATTCTGCCCGGACGCTGAGGTCCAGTGCCGAGGGCCTTCTGGCAGTTCCCTCATTGCGAGAAGCAAAGCTACAGGGAACTAGGTAGAGGGCCTTCTCGGTAGTGGCGCCCGCCCTGTGGAACACCCTCCCATCAGATGTCAAAGAGATAAACAACTTCCTGACATTCAGAAGACATCTGAAGGCTGTTCAGGGAAGTTTTTAATGTGTGACATTTTAATGTATTTTTGGTCTTTGTTGGAAGCCACCAAGAGTGGCTGGGGAAACCCAGCCAGATGGGCAGGGTACAAATAATAAATTGTTGTTGATACTTCTGCATGCAGTGCAGATGTTGTACCAGTGACCTCTGTCCCTTCCTGCAATGAACCCTGTCTGAAATCCTAGAGAACTGTCAGTCACTGTAGACAGTAAAGAGCTCCGTGAACCAAACAGCATAAGACAGCATCCTAAGACAGCAGTATGATGGGATGGAGGCATAGCAGAATATTCTCCTGCAGTCTGCTCATTAGTTTGCTGGATCAGGGGAAAAAAGACTGTGCCCTGGAATTTACTAGCCAACACATCGGTTGCAGACCTCTAGTCTTAATTTGTTGTTCTAGAAAGTTTTGCTGTGAGATCTCCCCCTCCCTCTGCCCCCACTACCCTTGAGGGTACTCCTGTTTATTTGTTCCAATTTGTACATTACAACAGGGCAAACACACAGGGACAAACAGAACAAGCCTAATCCTAACAAGGCAGCATCCTTCAGCCTCTCTGAGAAATTAATTTTTACCCTCAGGCATGTGACAGATGACTGGGTGAACCTAATATAATAAAGGTGTGTGGTTTCACTTGATAAAAACTGCTGGCGCTCTTCCCCGGGTCTCCAGAGTGTGAAAGCTGAGTAAATTACAGACATCTCTGCAAATCGTCGAGGCAGCACTCGGCCCTTACCTGAAACTCATCTGTATGGGATTTCTTTTTCCTTTTAAATGAGTCTGATTGGATCAGTGGAAGAACGGGGAGACATAAATAAAGGAGGCAACCTCCAAGGAACGGAGAAAAATTGCGCCTTCAAAAGCATACAAATGACAAAAAGAGTTCTCTGAGTAACAAAAAGAAAACAAGACTTTGAAGATAACAAAAGAAATGCCCCCAAAGTCCTGAGGGAGCTAAAACACACAGGCTTGTGCAGTCCTTCTCTAGATGCAAAATCCAGTTTTGCTTGTTTACTCTCAGATGTGCATGGTCGGGGTTTTGTTGCCACTGGTGTATAATTCAGATATTATGTCTGGGGTGAAAGTGTCACTGGGCAACAAGCAAGTTCTTCATTTCTATTCATTTTTTTGCTCGATCCTGTTCCAGAGTTATACCTTGTCATTAGGTGATAATCCAGGAAGAGGAGTCAGAAAAGAGCTAGCCTAAGGTTCATGCTAAGGGGTTGTAGGTGGGGAGGTAAACCGGGTTCCCCCGTAGTCCTCAAGAGAGTACAACTCAATGAATGCTAGGAATTCTGGGAGATTCTTGCATTGCAGGGGTTTGGACTAGATGATACTTAGGGTCCCTTCCAACATTACGATTCTATAATTCTATGAATTGCTCTTAAGTGAATATTGGAAATTCAAAATTGCCCAAAGGCTAAAGTGTGGCCTTCCTTAATTTGATATTTCTGATTACAAGAGTGCTGCATTTGCATTTTGAGTTTCTAAACCCACACAAATGGTTTTCCCAGTCACAATGGGTCCATTGGGGCAAATTGGATGCTGCCCCATCAACTTAATAATAAAATTATTATTATTATTATTATTATTATTATTATTATTATTATTATTATATCATTCCACCCATCTGGTTGGGTTGCCCCAGCCACTCTGGTCTGCCTTAAGGCAGCCCTCACTTGACTTCTTACTCACGTCTTCAAGTAACCTTTGTAATACAGAGGACAACTAACAGCAATCCTCTGGATGATCTCAGTGATCGGCATAGG